ACAGTAGAATAGCAAATCGTCAACCGCGGCCATTCCCATTACGTCACAGAAGGCCTGTCTCGCCTCCGATCACGAGACAGCTTTTGATGTCGCGTCGTCTCGCGAGACACCCTAATTGCCATCGAATAATACTTTGGGCCCACTACCAAATATGCAGTGTTTACATTGTGATGAATGTTATGGATGTCATCGCTATCACAGTTAGTTTACCTGTCCAGCTCAAGGAAATTGGTTTAGATCACTTCTGAAGTACTCCTGAACCTTTAACAGAATGTTTATAGCACTCCATAACAAAATTCATCGTTATTCATCGTTTTTTCTAAAACATTCCATAAACCAAGTAGAAAAGTGGGGACCATTTTCTATCTGCTCGTGTTGTGAGGTTAAACTGGTCCGAAAATGGCGGTGAAAATTAACCTGGGATAAATCTTATATGGAGACTAATTCGCGTCGACACAGGAGATGAGTATAACAATCACTTTTCATTGTCAAGGAATCGTCTAATCACTTTGAAGACGGGAGAGATGCACATTTGTAAGCCCTTACTGGACGTCTCTGGTGGAGCTGGAATTATTGAACAGTCGAGGTCATATTCGTTGTTCTCTTAATCAAGCAGATCCAGCAATATAATCAGATCTACGCAGTAGGAGTGATACTGTGTTTACGTCCTCCAGTACTGTTTACAACTACGTGGAGATCCGTACTACCCGTGACGTCATATGTTGAACGGAAATGAAAGACTGAAAGCGTGCTAGCGTGAATCGGCCGTAAATCTTACATTGGTCTCGAAAGGACTCGATTGACGCATATCTTGGCCTAAAATATCATCGTGGAGACTTGTGCATTATTTCCCACCTTGATATCTCACATATTTACGTTCGTGAGAGATAAAAACGAAAGAATGATAAATTCGTTGATGACTATGTTATGAGGTTACGGAACCCAGCGCAAGTTTAGAAAAGAACGAAAAAAGCGCGCCTGCGCCTTTCATGATTCCTTAGAGGGGAATTTAAAGACGTGATGATGAGGAAGATCAGAAGCGGTTGACTTTCAGGTGAGGTGGACGTTCGTCGTTTTCCCGACAGCCTTTAAGTCATAGCCAAATAGACACTTCTCTCCCCTTGCTCCTCTCTCTTATATTCCTCTGTTTGTTTGTCTCCCTCGATATATCAATCTACCTACCCTTTTATCTGTCTTTGCCTCTCATTGTTCATCCCCTCAAAGGCAAACCAGCTAACCCTCGTTCGAGAGCGAGGCCAACCATCATGGCACTGAGCGGGAGGCACCTGAGGGTCGGCGCCGACATCTGGGTGCCGTGGGTCGACCTGCGGCGCCGGGAGGACGGGTCCCTCGGCGCCTCCGGGGTCGCCGCCGCCTTCTTCGACATCATCGCCGCTAAGCTCAACTTCTCGTGAGGAGCGAGTGCACGGTTGGAGCCTTTTGTGTAGGAACGAGAGAAGCAGATCAATAGATGTGATAGATAGATAGAGAGAGAAATTAAAAGATAGCTTATCTAGGAGAAGAAAGAATTGATAAATACAGCAGGTAATTTGGTTGATCAGATAGATTGACAGATAAATAACGCGGTTATCTTGCATATGCATTTCGGAATATTTTCAAAGATTTACGTGAATCCAGGTCTTGTTAGATAGTACAATGTCTTCTCAAATTTAATGTCATATACGAAATTTTTAAATCAACAGAAATTTTCTAAATCATCCAGAAAAGATTATATACAGTCACGGTTTTCACATTATTAGTTATTATTTTTCCCTTTAATATTCTCTTCATATAATTTATAGAAAGTTATTTCTCGAATTTTCTGCCCACTAACATCAAACATAGCAACATTAACATTGCTTCTTAGTGTCCATTCACAGCTACTCGACATCTAATTTCTCCCTTGACGTTCACACGCAAGGTACACCTTAGTGATGCCCGAGGACAGGGAGTGGGGTCGAGGCCTTCCCAACGGCTCCTTCACCGGCATGATCGGGATGTGTCAGCGGAAGGTAAGGTCTCCGGAGTGTCTTCGGAGTACGCGAGGTGGTTGTCAGTCTATCGTCTCTTCGCAGTACAGAAAATAAAATGGTATGGTATAAACAATGTATATATATATATTTTTAAAGATAGATATCAATAGATAATGTGTAAAGGTTTAAAAGATAAATCCATACGGGATGGAAAAGTGTAAACTACTCATTTGTGTACAACAGATGAATAGGAGGGTTGTTAAAACGTGTAACTAGACTATAATGCTATGGAGAAAATTAAGAACGCAGACGCGAATATATAATTCATTCTAATTCTCATATAGAAGGCTACTCATCCCCCGATGACTTTAGAAAGAATCAGACAAAAGTTATTTATAAGAACGTCTTAAACACGTTACCGATCACCAGTCCATATCAACGCCAGTGAGGACGAGATCGTAAGAACATCTTTTTAACCGTATAAACATACCTTCAGGAGGTGGACATGGCACTGGGGCCCTTCGGAGTGACGTGGGAGCGCGCCCAGGTTGTGGACTTCTCTTCCACGCTTTATGTCGACGGCTTCGGGATCTTCCTGCCGCGGCCTCGTCAGGAGAGAGACTTAATTGGCTTCACCAACCCTCTCGCTTGGCAGGCAAGGCCGAAGAAGTGTTTTTTTATCAAGGACGTGTACACGTATGCTTAATATTTGATGATTTGTCGCTTAGTCTGAAAACATATCAGCATATTTATAACCATCATAAGTTCGAAACGATTAAACAAAGGTCATAGTTGTGAGGCTCTCTTGCTTCCAACAGATTAATTTCTTCCGGAAATTGAACTTCCACAAATATCTGGCAGTAAGGACCAAATACCGTCTCCATGGAATAGAATCGTCACATTTTCTATTTCCTCTCAGGTCTGGGCCGCTCTTGGGGCCGTCCTCCTCTTTACACTCGCCATAGGTGTTGTCTTGAACTTGCTGGCAAGACGGTGCTTCAGGCCAACAGATGGCTCTGCCGGTGCTGGGGAGGATCAAGCCAATATTATCTTACGCCCACTCTGGGTCGTGCAGGCTTTGCTCATTGGATGTGAGTTTGGGGCCGTGATCTTTTCAGTGGTGTAGGGCAAACAACTACTCTTTGATAGTCCTTTTAGAGTAATGAATGGCCAATGTTGCAATTAATAATGACATGCGGCTTATGTAACTAAGAACAGGTATATAGATAGATAGATAAATAAATAGAAAGATAGATAAATAGAAAGATAGATAGATAAATAGAAAGATAGATAGATAAATAGAGATATATAGATAAATAGAAAATAGATAGATAGATAAATATATAGATAGATAGATAAATAGATAGATAGATAGATAAATAGAAGGAGAGATGAATAGATAGATAGAAAAATAAATAGAAAGATGGATGGATGGACGGACGGCTAGATGGATGGATGAATAAACTGAATGAAAGATGGATTGATAGATGTAGAAACAGATAGAGCTATAGACAGGGATACACAGTAGGTATAGACAGCCAGATAAGTAGCTAGATAGACATATAGAAAGATAAAAAGATAAACAGGCATAGATATACATATACCATAGCTATCCATCTACTTAAACATACACATACATATATATACGCACACAAACAAACGCTCACCTATATGTATGCACGCTTGAATGCATACATATACCATAACTATACATCTGTTAACCATACACATACATATGTACACACAGACGCACACCTATATGCATGCACGCTGAATGCATGCATATACCATAACTATACATCTGCTTAAACATACACATACATATGTACACAAAACGCACACCTCCTGTATACATGCACGCTTGTATGTGAGTCTCCCGTTAAGACAGCCATCGAGAAGCTTCCGTCACGCCCCAGCAGTCGCGTGCTCCTCGCCGCTTGGCTCCTGGCCGGGCTCATCCTCAGCTCGGCTTACAGGGGCGTGCTCACCTCTCTGCTTGCCGTGCCCAGGGTGACCGTGCCCGTCGACTCTCTCGAGGATCTGGTCAGCTACGGCAAGATCCCCTGGGCCAACGAGAAGGGCACGTCGCTGCATCAGCTGTTTGGGGTGAGGCCGCCAACATGGGTTAGCAGAAGACGCTGTTTTTTTAATCTTTTTTTCGAATTCCAGCCTCCCCTGCCCCCTCCCCCCTCACTGACTGGCACGTCCCCTGACCCCTCCCTCCCTCCTCCTCTCCCATTCCTCAAATATTGCATTTTACTGACATGCTAATGTTTGCGCTTCTTTTTGTGAAAACGGTTTGTCAGAGTCCGCCATACCTCATAGCTCTCTAATGGTTAGTTAAAAGCGAAATAAATGTGCTAGACATCTAACGTCATATAGCACTATAGGAAGGCATAATAAAGGGTGATGTCAGGTGATAGTTGCTATGCGTCAAGTATCTAGAGTAATGTTGAAAGGTTGAAGATGGGGAAGGGGTTGATGAGGGAAAGGGTTATGGTGGTTTAGGTAAGGGAATTAGATGATAGTTCAATATAATTATCCCTTTTCTTGAGCCTTCGCCTTCCCCTTAGCCGCCCTTCGTTCTCCCCGAGGGCGGCGCACTCCCGGGTTAAAAACCACCTGCCTAAGACGAGGGTTACTATTATTATGAGTTGAACTGGTGATAGCTGTTATCATTATCATAATAATAATGATGATGATAGTGATGGTATGATTATTCTCATTCATTAATGATATTGTTATCATAACTTATTTTATTATCATTATCATCATCATCATTAATGCGTTCATTGTCATAGTTGTTAATATTATCAGTTTTTAATCATCGTCATGGTATCATTGTTGTTGAAATTACTATAATTATAATTACTATTGCTTTTTTTCTTTGTAATTATTTCATTTCTGTTGTGGCTGTTGCTATTACTATTGTTACTGTTATTAGAATAAAGCATATTTTCTTTGATGTCAGGTAGAAATATCGACTTTTTTCGGTAGTAGATTTTTAAAAGGAGACAATGCTACCACACATAATACCAAACGAGTCTCACCAATAAACAAGGCAGCAAATTAGGTGATAGACAATGAAAAGTATTTTTCCACATTGTTTTAGTTACGAAAATAGACATTTGCTAATCGATACATAGATATGATTTCTTCCCCATCATTTGTAACAAAAAGAGACATTTGCTAATAAATTTGAAAAAAAATGCACTTTTTACGTTAACGAAGAGACATTTGCTTATTGATAAAAATATATTTCTCCCCTGTCCTTTGTAACGAAAAGAGACATTTGCTAATGACTTATATATATATATAATATATATATATATATATATATATATATATAATATATATATATATATATATATATATATATATATATATATATATATATATTTCTGTCCATTCTTAAGGTAACGAAGAGACATATGCTAACTGATAAGAATATAGGATTCCCCCCCGAAACGAAATTAGACATTTGCCAATAATTTGAAAAAATGCACTTTCCCTTTTACGAAGAGACATGCTAATTAATTTATAAGAAATATTATTTCTCCACCATCTCTTATAACAAAAAGAAACATTTGTTAATAATTGAAAGGTATAATTTCTAAGGTAACAAAAAGACACATGCTAATTGATAAAAACGATAATATCCCCCCCCCCATCCTTTGTAACGAAGAGGGTAGGGCACTAACACAACATCCCTCACCAGGACGCTACGTCAGGCCTGTACAAGACGATCCACGACGAAGGAACTTTGGTCGTGAATGCTTACGAGGCGAGAGAGAGGATCAAGAAGGAAAGCATGGCTGTCCTCTGTGACTTCTTTACCATGAGGAAGGTACGGGGGTTGTATTTTTTTTTTTTAGGGGGGAGCCTTGGGGTGTGGAATGATATGGTACATTCTGGGACTCAGATGAATTACGTGAAAAAGAGATTTTGCAGTATTGTTTAGTCTCATTGCATGCTCGTAGTTATCTTCTGTATGTAAAGGCTCTCTGAATAGGACTAACATAAATTTAAATGTGATATTGTGGTGGTTAGTGTTTTCGACGTTCCTACTTCTTTTGTAGGTTTAATCTGTCTGCCTGCTTACCGCTCTATCTCTTTATCTGCCTATCTGTATATTGATCTATCTGTCTATCTAGCTATCTCTTCCTCCCCCTCCATACATCCCTCTCTGTCTCTATATATCTGTATGCCCTCCCCCAGCCCTCGCTCCCACTCTCCCTATCTTTCTGTCTGACTGACACTTTATCTATCTATTTATCTCTCCCTCCCTCAATCCCTCTCTCTCTCTCTCTCCCTCCCTTCATCTCTGTCTTCCCCTCCCTTGTCTCTCTCCCCTCCCTTCATCTCTGTCTCCCCCTCACCTTCCCTTCGTCTCTCTCTCTCTCCCTCTCTCTCTCTCTCCCCTCCCTTCATCCCTCCCTTCTCTCACACTCCCCCTCCCTTCATCTCTGTCTCCCCCTCACCTTCCCTTCGTCTCTCTCTCTCTCTCTCCCTCCCCCTCCCTTCATCTCTCTCTCTCCCTCTCCCTCTCCAAGATCATGAGTGACGACTTCACACAAACGGGCGCCTGCAACTACTACATCGCCGCCGAGCCCATCAAGTCGGCCCCGCTCGCCTTCGCCTTCCCAAGAGGAGCCCGCTGGTGCGTCACTTCGACACGTGGTGAGTGGAAGAACGCTGAAGCCTTCTTTCCGTGGGGTCGAGAGAAGAAAGTTTGGGTCGCCTGCTGTCGATAATGTCAGTGCTGAGATGTGGCGAGAACGGGACTGAATTTGCATTATAGTTCGAGAGATCTGTGATACTTTTTTGTGATGAATAATATGTAAGCTATATACTGTGTGTGTATGTATATATTTATATGTTATATATATATATATATATATATATATTATATATATATAATTATACAATATATATACATATATACATATATATATATATATATATATATATATATATACATATACATATATATATATATATATATATATATATATATATATATATATATATATATATATATATATTATGTATGTATGTATGTGTGTGTGTGTGTGTGTGTGTGTGTGTGTGTGTGTGTGGTATATATATATATATATATATATATATATATATATATATATATATATATATATATATATATATATATATATATATATATATCGGATATATCTATATTTATTCCTTTATATATTCATTTTTCATGCATATCCTCGGAACAACAGGATGGCCGCGCTGGTGGAGTCCGGGATGGTGAGCCGCAGCGTCCTGGCACTGACCTCGAACGCCACGGCCTGCCTGGTGGCTCCGGGGAAGGAGGAGGGCGCCGAAGGGTCACTGGCGTTCACCTTGTTTGACCTCGCCGGCGGCTTCTTGCTTCTGGCTGGAGGCGAGTGCTCGGCTGAGGTTGGAGGCGAAGGGTTGGGCTTCTAGGGGGAATTTTTTTTCATTCTATTATCATTATAATTATAATTAACATGATTATAATTATAATAATAGTTATAATTGTGATAATGATTATAATTTTAATAATTATGATAATATAATTATTATGATTATAATTATTATGTTAATTGTAGTCAGTTATTAGTCATTGTTATTTTCATTATAATTCTTATCATGATTATTATTGCTATTATTATCATTGTTAATATTATTGTTACTGTTATCATTATTGTTACAATTTGTATTGGTATTATTATTATTATTATCACTTTAAAGATTTTTATGGTTATTATTGTCATTTTAAAGATTTTTATGGTTATTATTATCATTATAGAAATTATCAAATGATCATTATAGTCATTATGATTATATGATTAGTATGTCCGTTATTTTTACCATCAGTACTACTACTACTATCATTTCTATCATGACCATTATTAGTTAATATTATCATCATTCTTAGATTATTAATAATATTATATTTATCATTTTAAATATTAATATTACTATTATCATTATCATTGTTATTATTATCATGATTATGATAATTCTTATTTTCATTATTATTTGATAATACTAATAATATTACTATTAATAATAGTAATAATGATATTAATGATGCTGCTGATAATAGTAATAATATCAATAAGCAATATTATCACCAATATTCATATTTATTTTTATAATAATAATAATGATAATGATAATAATAATAATAATAATAATAATAATAATAATAATAATAATAATAATAATAATAATAATAATAATAATAATAATAAAAATAATAATGAATTTTTTTAAAGTATGAGTATTATCATCTTTATTATTATTTTTATCATATTATAATGATCATTATCATTACTATCATTATTACTACACACGCACGCGCGCACGCAGACGCACACAAACACACATACACACACACACACACACACACACACACACACACACACACACACACACACACACACACACACACACACACACACACACACACACAAACACGCACACAAAGAAAGAATGAAAACCTATCGTGTCATAACGCGCTTACTGTGCTCTGTTCCAGGTCAGCTGTTGGCCGCTGCAGTCCTTGTGGGCGAGAGACTCAGAGGCTTTCTTCGCAAAAATTAGTTTCTCTGCCTATGAAGAATTTGCTAAAAAAAATGGCTCTTCGGTTAACACGAAGAAAATGTTGATTAGTTTTGTGCCTTGATATCCCACGACTTTGATTTAGTTAGCCTAAAATATTATATATGTGTAGGGTCCACGTAGCCCTCCAAGTTAGTTTTGGTAGGTCGGTATATATTCATTCTAGGACGCATCTTTATGAAAATTATTATACTCGAAAATGAAATGTCAGGTCAGGAAACTAGCACCCTTAAGAAAGGGACTTTTCTATACATGTAGACAAAAATATTGTATATCAAAAACGTTTTACTCCGGAACGATTACACAGGTTTTGTGTTAAACCAGTTTATTTTTTTTAAATACTTGAATAGCATATATTTGGTATCATATATGCAAATGTACACACAAAAGGGACTTTAGCTTCCGATTCAATGCTGCCATCAGAGACCTTGTTCTCTGGTCACTGTAGGCACTCGTCTCGTATTGTTTAAAGTTATAACGATGCGCAGAGACACTTTGCTCTTGGCTCCTGTATATAATCACAAGGTGCCTAAAGAGCTGTCCAGGAAGGTACCTGAAATGAGGGACTGCAAAAAGGAAGAGACGAGTCACTCCATTGTGAGGAAACCCATTTGTTCAACTCTTCATTTCCTTATGAACTTGACCTGGGGGGCAAATAAAACAAATAAAAATAATTGTTTATATTCATTATATATTACAATTTAATTTCTGTTAAGAGTTGTATTTACAGATATTCTGAATTAAACGAAAATTCTGGCGTTGAGAGATCTGATGCCACCACTGTATTTTGAGCAAATCTGCCATTCCTAATGAGACCTACAACTGAAAGAGTAACACTTCACTTGATTTCCACAAAAAGGACAAAGGAACAATTCAGAGTGAGATTAATGAATATCCGCATTGCACATAATGTCATAAGATAAAAAATCAGGTTCCTTGATACTTGCTTAGCTATAGATTAACTAATATACAAACATATTCATGTAGAAGGCCGTTACTAGTGAGCATACTCGCCACAAATGGAGGGGGTACTTCTAGACAATTTTTTGTCATTTGTTAGCTATAATCATTTCATTTTGGACACAAAATAGGTATTATTTACATATTTATGTCTTTATTTATTTCATGTATACAAGCTTTATCGCATTATAAAATTATTTTGGGTTCTGGTCTTCTGTATCCTTTACATCTTCCTTAATTATGCTGTTTAAAAAAAACTGCTGGTTTCCTATCAATTTCTTGTATTTTGATATGGTGTTCTTCCTGGCTGATTCTTGAACATGGTTAGTTGGCAATGACGTCTAGTTCTTCTGCATATTATGTCTTTATTTTCCAGTCTTTATTCTTGCTTCTTCAATCCATTAATATTATACTGCCTTGTATTTCTAAGTGGCATTAAAACTAGTCACATTTTTTTTCTGGATATGGTTAGTGTTAACTTCCAGTCATATATTTTATTACTGAAAAGACTATCTAGCTCACTGTACATTCGTTAACTGCTTGACCATTTCACTGAAGGTAAAGCTGGATTAACTATTCATCAAACTGGACAGTTTCTTCTGTATTTTGAATAGTCTGTGGATTAATCCAAAAGTTATGAGTAATTTTTTAAAAGCTATTACATACAACGCACTAAAATTATTGTATTGTAAATCTTGGGTAATGAAATACAAAGTAATATAGCCATAATTGTAATATATTTACACGAGATTTCATATATACAAAAAATTCTTTTCCTAAATGCAAGACATTCACATTATAAATACTGTCTTGACAATCTATAGATAATCATATCTCTAAGACAGTACATGTTCTACCAAAATTCTGAACAGTAAAATCAGCTCCTTTATCATAATTATAATAATAATTATGATAATTATAATAATAAAACAAATAATAACAATCACAATCATAATCATAATAATAATAACAATAATAATGATAAACATTTAGCTTGATTTAAAATCAGTGTTTTTTTGTGGTCCAGTCATTATTAAAATCATAAGCTGATGCTAATGATAATGATAATGATAATGATGATAATAATAAAGACAATAATAATAAAAAAAAATAATGAAAACATCAACAACACTACATTATAATAATGACAGTGCCATCTATTATTATATAATATACGAAGATAGCTCTGCAACCTTCACTAGTAACAAACTAGAGGAATTGAAAATAAAAATATATCATTAACCACACCTAATTTAACCATAATTACTTTAAGTTAGGTAGACAATTAACAATTCACCTTGAGTGATGTATTTCTCAACATGCAAACAAACTTTGAACTTTGTAAGCCTCACATAACTCCTGTGAGATGAACTATGAAATTTTGAGATCTTCCTTGAATTTGCCACAAAATTGCATCTTCTCAGAAAACATAAGCCTACTGCATAATAATGGATGAACACTTTAAACAGATTTACATAAATAAAATTTGAGATTTCTTGCACACTGATGAAGGTCTGATGATGAATTACCAACCTGCTTCATTCTTAACTCTCAATGCCGCAAGTTTGAAATGACGGCCTGAGAAAAGTCAAAGGTGGTAGAGTGTCCTCCCATATCCTTGGTTCGTACCTGGGGCGGAAGGATTAAAAACAAAAAGAGGGATTGAGATCTATGTCTGTGGGCAAGTTACAGCAGTATGCTAGGAAAGATCAAGAAAAAGAAAAAATGGAAATATTAATAAATAAAAATAAGATGTCTACCACTATATTTTCCTCTGCTGAGTCTTTAAATCATGCAGCATTCAGTACATTCTTGACTAGATGTCCATAAAAGGATAATTATCTATAAACTATTATGGTAAATAAATGCATTTTTCCTCTAATATGAGATCATAAACATATTCATACTTTTACACAGTGAAAAATAAATAGTTATCTATTCTTACTCAGAAAAAAAAAGAGCTATCTTGAATGGATCCTGTACAAACACTTAAGGTTATAAACAAACATCGAAACAGTTTGGAATTTCAAAGAATTGAGAGATCAAGTCTTTAGGTAGATATTATTTGGTTCTAAGTGTTTACTTAGATTTTTTTCTTATTTTTTGTGTAACAGTAACCTGACTATATTAGTTGCCGTGCACTAAACTCAAACTATTTTTGTGATTAAGTAAAAACACTATCCACACTAGTTAATAAATAAAGGAGCTACTGCTCATCCACACCTCTAGACAAGCTTTACTGTCACAATTCTGCCCTCACAGATATGATAATCTAAGGTGTAGCAGTGATATATACAATATAATACTATCATCTTTTACGTCTGCACTTCACTATTGTTATGAATACTAGTGTCATTGTGATATTAAGTCCTTCTGGCCTTTACACGCCTCACTCTCACTGTTGGAGGTTGGCGATGACTGCATTTGCGAAGGCTGTGGTTGTGGCAAAACCACCCATATCCTTCGTCCTCACCTACAGTCGGGCAAGAAGCAAACAAAAGTGAAGTCAGTATGAGTGTGAGACAGTTGAATATGAGTGCCTATGAGAGTAAGTATATATATAAATATATATATATATATATATATATATATATATATATATATATATATATATATATATATATTATATATTATATATATATATATTTGAAGAGTCTACCTATGAATGAGTGAATTCATTTGCCATTTTTAAACAGACCCATGACTGTTTTCCACTAGTGTTTTTGCATACTGTTTTGATTACAAACCAAGAGTTCATTTGATGAACACATTTAATCAAAACTCATGCACCCAAAATATTCCCAACAAAAAGGTAGAATTCAGTTTTTCTTGTAATAAAGGATTAAACCTCACTGGACTTGCTGCATGTATTTCATTCAACTAGGAAACAGTGAATTATGGCTAGGTAAGGATTCCAGGGAACCCCAAATTGTGATGGACAATTTCATTATACAGACAGGGCTTCTCATAATTTAGTCTGTTCTAATGGGGGTAGGCTGTATAAAATCATAGTTGGAAACTATTCAATACAGCACCATTATAAGACAGCTGAGAGTACATGCATCACTGAATGTGCCTAAGTATGCAATGAATGTTTTTTTTTCTGTGGTGACTCCAGCATCTTTTCTCTGTGATAGATCATTACTACATGGTTGCCAACATGAAGCCAAAGCAATGTGCAGAATGCAATGGCACAGAGTTACAGACACATATAGCAACTGTCAAAATTAACAAAAGGTTACAAGACAAGTTTATCAAACTTGTAACTACATGTATATTTCCAGGATAGGTTTACTTCTTCCATTTACTTGGAGTATGCTATAATCAACAATACCTATATATAACTTGAAATGATTTAGCAAATATTGCCATTTATGAAGCATTCTTCTTAACTACGAATCTGTAATAGAATACAAGTTTTATAAAATGAGCATTAAATATAAGTGAAATGCAACTGAAGAACAACTTAATGCTATAGGAACTACACTTTTGTCAGGTCAGCTCCAGTTTTAGGTATTAAATAAAAAACTGATAATAAAGCTATCCTAATATCACCTACATGATTCTAGCCCATAGACCATAAAAAGGGTAGGTTACTGAACTACTTATATAATCTATATCTCTCATACAAATCTTACCCAACTCTATTTATCCTATGTCACTGTCAACTCCCTTAAATTCCCTAAAGAAAACTAACCCAACTTCTCTCCTGAAACTCTAAAGAGAGTGACTGACCATTATATCATACCAAACAACCAAGTACACTTGAGCTTAATTCTTCAGAGGAATCAAGATACCCTTAACTAACATTTCCTCCCTGAGAATCCTTTTCTTCACCTTTGTAAAATACAAATAGAATCTAGACAAATCTCTATCTGAAATCATCCCCTAAAAAAGAAACTGAAAAGTAAAATAATCAAAATACTAATAGCAAACTAGAGTGTTCCTCACCTTCCCGACTCGAATGACTCGGTCAACTGAATTCCTGATCATGTCGCCATAGTACTGCAAGTTGATGTGGTTAAGCATGTTTGCCGAGGCAAGCAACATGGCGGTTGGGTTGGCGACATTCTTACCTACGGCTTCACTGAAGGTGTGACGTGCACCCTGGAATACAGCAAGGGAATGGGGTAAATTTAGAAATACATGATATTGGATGACAGTTCTATCTTTGGTAGAGGTTAAATCTTTAATAATCTTCTTTTTGATAGTGATGGAACAAAAACAATAATTGTATAGTAGTCATCAACATTACATTGATAATCTATTTTTGGAATACATATACATATATATATACATACATATATAGAAACCTATATACAGACATAAATAATATATAACATATAATGTATAATGAATGTATAATGTATATATATATATATATATATATATATATATATATATATATATATATATATATATATATATATATATATATATATATATATATATATATATATATATATATATATATATATATATATATATATATATATATATTATATATTATATATTATATATTATATATTATATATTATATAATATTACATATTACATATTACATATTACATATTACATATATTATATATCATATATCATATTCATATTCATATTCATATCATATTCATATTCATATTCATATATATTCATATTATATTATATATTTATATTTATATTTATATTTATATTATATATTCTATATATTATATATATATATATTATATATATATATATATATATATATATATATATATATATATATATATATACTGCTATGAATTTTTCAAATATATGGAAGAAGAAAAAAACTCTCAAAGAACGTACTGGCTCAAACACCACAGAGTCGCTAGAATATGATGCTCCAGCCACAACTCCAGCTCCCCCTACAAGACCAGCTGCGAGGTTGTCAATGATGTTGCCATAGAGGTTGGGTAGCACCAAGACGTCAAACTGGTGCGGATTGGAGACCATCTGCATAGTGCAGTTGTCCACAATCATGTTGGAGAACTCGATGTTTGGATACATGGCTGCCACCTGTTGTAGGGTTTAAGGTGTGGAAATGGTGCATAAGTCAGGTATTCTCCTAAATATATCCCAAGATTTGAATAAATTGTATGAGATGGGTAAAAAAATTATGAATAAGTTTCATAATAAAATCTATGTCTTTCCTTAAAAATATCTTGTGATAAGATAACTGACTGCTTTCCATAAAAAAAAAAAACTATGAAATTCTTATATCATAACCTAATCACACAATTTTTTTATCAGAAATACAAGGAGCTTACCTCTTCACACTGCTTCAGGAAGAGGCCATCACCAAGCTTCATGATGTTGGCCTTGTGCACTGCTGTCACCTTCTTGCGGCCATGCTTGGTAGCATAGTCGAAGGCGAACTTGGCAATGCGCCTACACTTCTGGCGGGTCATGATCTTCAGACATTCAACCACTCCTGCAACGCTCTCATGCTCTAGGGCTGAGTATTCACCCTCAGTCTGCTCACGGATGACCACCATGTCGATATTCTTGTGCCGAACATTAATGCCATCTAGTGACTTTACATGAACGACATTGGCATACAAGTCCAACTCATCCCTGCAATTTCATTTAGGAATTATCTTTAAGATCTGGTAAAAATGGGAAAACATGAATCCTAATTATCAATGACCCCTTCATTATCAAGTGCACTTGGAAAAAGATTTATATTTTATCAAACCCCCTAAACTGTTTCAAGATATTTTTCTCAAATGAGTTAGAGCAGTTTGGAACAATACTAAATAGAAAATATCATTACATAAATCAACTGTAATTCTAGCAATGGTTAGACATATAAACCCAACAGCCCCTTAAACCTTGCATGCCCTTACCTGAGCTTCATGTTAAGAGTCTTGAGCTCACCATCTGAGCTGTGGTCAGGGGTGGCCAGAATACCCTTGAGGCAGAGGCGGTTCCGCTTGATGCTATCCACGACATCATCAAGGCTCTCTGACCTCCTGGCATAAAGCTCAGTAAGGTAGTGCTCCTCAAAATCCACCGGGACGCCAGCGTTCTGGAAGACATCGAGGACCACTTGGCACAGCTCAGGCCCCACGCCATCACCAGGGATCAAGGTGGCTGTGGTCCTGCCCTCCGGCTTGCTCACAGGAGCTTGCTGTTAAGAGGAGAAGGATTAGCTTCATTGGATTTTACTCTAATTATTTTTTTCCCTGCAACTTTAAGACAGCCTAGCATAATAACACATGACTATACAAAGATATAGATAGTGGGCATCTGATAGAGAGAGAAGTAGAGTGGGAGAGAGGAAGGGAGGTAGGAGGGAAAGGAAGAGAAAAAGGGGAAAGAGAAAGATATCAAGATTTGAAGCCTATTAAAGTATTCTGAATTATCTTGTACTTAATCTTAACAATTGTTACTCTATATTTTTTGCATTACAGCTAATATAACTCAATACTACAAAACTGTCAAAGAAATTACCCTAATAAAAACTACATGAATAACTGTCTTCTATTTGACTGTATTTTAACATTTTCATAAAACAAAAACACAATGGCAGTATATCTTGCTCTATCCACTTTCACATTACTCTCATCTATTTCAAACCTTGAGAACAAGTACTAATGTTAATGATTTCATAAATGCAGTGAATAACCCACTTGATACAATCAACTGCTTTTCAACAGCTCTATCTGCTTTGAATGAATGTAGTTAAACTGAAGATAGAATGTGGTATAAAAGTATAAAAAGTGAAGCACTCAAATAAAATATAAAATTTCCTAGACTAACAACAGTCTAGATAGGGAAGCAAGCAATATGAGCTAAATAAAAGCAATTGCAATTCAACATGCTCTTTCTGAGGACAGAAAAAATGCACTCATGCATCTTTTCTTTGACAAGGAAAAAAATATATATACTTTTATGCCATGCATATCAGCTGATAATAAAATATTCTAGTTACAAATAATGCCTTGGAAAGAATTATCCAACAAAATATCTATGACATTTTTTGCATTATATGGTTGATGTTACTATAATGCAGAAAACCAACATGTCTAAATAAATCACTAAAAAACAAACTATAATCACCCAAGTGTGTATATACATATAAAATAGTTTGGAAACTCATATATAAGAGCAAAGGCAACTCACCCAGCCACCATTATCCTTCAGTGTACGATAGCATAAACAAAGCATATTATCCTTGTGTTGTTGGAATGGTCACAAGGTTTCAAGCACAGCCATACGTTACTCTCATGTTTAACACAGCATAAGCTATTGCAATGCTACAGACATTAGACACAGTAGAAAAAAAGTCTCTTGAAACACTTATTGTCATAAATGAAGAGCAAGAGACGAAATCACAGAGAACAATGGTATACTAAATACATATTTAGCAAAATAACTTTGGCTTCTTGTAAAATGTTGCATACTAAGGAAAACTACTATCAATGTTTTGGTTGTACTGGATGTTTCAAAAACACTGTTCATTTGTCAGCACCCTGCTCATAATTAATTCACCTTTATTTTTTTTTACTTTTTAATATCTAACAATATATAGTGAGTCAATAAAAAAGTATTAAAGTACTTATCAGTACTCTGAGTCAAAGGAATTACGTAATATGAAATCCACCTTTGGAACAGATCCTCCCACAACACATGAATCTCAAACACAAAAATTATTTCCAATCATTACATCAATGTTATCCCTGTATATAAGACCATTTATGCAGAGTATTATGCTATGTGGACTAAAATTATACAAAGATGCCTGATGCTGCTCCCCATCAATTAATGAAACAAACTCTAACTGACGAAACTTTCTAGGTCACAAGAAAAAGATCTCTGTATCAGCTATGGCCAGAAATCTCAACTCAACTACACCTTTTATTTCATTTATTATCATTTATTTTTGGCAATTCTTTACAATACAGCTGCAACTCCTCACTGCATCCATAATACCATGTAACAAAATTTATTTTAAAATTTTAGTTGTCATGACCAGGAGACTGCTCGAGGGGAGGGTTGATGGGGGGCTCTGCCTCCAACACACCTCAAGGAAACATTGTTCTCACATCAGTATGCATGGCAAGATAGAGCTGAAACTCTGGAGAACAAGCAAACTTGAACTGTGAGCGGCGGCACTTTTTCTTTATTTGTGGTATTACTGTTGGTGCTTGCAGATTATTTCTTGTACTGACAAGTAAAACATTTACTACTCTACAAGAATATAAGTTTCAATTTCCCCTAGGTTAGTGCCTCCATACCAAAAAGATTTATTTTAATTTTTTTATTATCATCATTATTATTTTTTAAGGTCTTCCAATCACTTATCTACAGGCATACCCACTGGTCCCTAGTCACATGACTTGTGCCCCTACATTTTCTGAATTCAAGAGCCTTTACTCTATCCTATCATATCTATTTTTGAATCATGTGGACTAATATTGATCCTGTTTTATACCATGAGTTCAATATGTACAGGGACACAGAGATTGCTCTGATCTCAAGGTAAGAGACATTGCAGATCCCATACATATATATGAGCTGGTGTAAGAGGAGCTACTACGCATCATATAGATCACAAACATAAACTTGTATTTCCCTGAGCCCATACTTACAATAGCTGAGGTGAGAGGAGCAACACCATGGAGACCTCGGGCCGTGTGGAAGCAAGCCACCAATGGACGCAGCTGAAAAATTAGGTGTGAATGAGATGTAACATTTCTTTAGCTGAAGCAATAATAAGAATGCCTGCCTGCTAGCGAGCAATAAGTAGAAGCAACAGCAGATCAAAGAACGTCTCTTAAAGCAGGGAAAGTCTACGTTGCGTGAGAGAATAGTCTCGGAAGCGTTTTTCTTGCTAACTCGCAAGCATCTGCTAGCATATGCTGCTGTCTCACGCGACCTGCTCGAGCTAAGATGGCGCGTCTTTGACTTGTAGCCAGCTATGTGGACGTACAGCTCCAACCTGCTAGGATTGAGAGAATCCGGATGTTCTCGCTAGCGATCTGTCGTCGTCGAGCGCGAGTCCGCTCTATACGAGGCGAGGAAGCCGCGCAACCTTAGTGGATGACGTACGGCAGTATGCCAGCGACGTCTCTCCGCGCGCTAAGCCGAGGCTCGTCTGGCTAGTGGAACAGCAGGGCCTAACCTCAGTCCTTGTCGAGCAGTAGAGTAATCTCCTTTAATTCCCACGTGCTATGATGCTGATGTAGCATGAAGTAATCTCTTCGCTCATAAAGATCACCTATCTCCAGCAATATATGCGAATTCTAGCTAGCTAAAAGACTGAGCAGTAGGCACGCGATTAGAATGGAGCATGGGAAAGCCACTAACCTCATAGGATAGAAAAGTATGATTGAGTTAGTACCGTGGAATGAATCTCACTAAGATCTCGTATAAGGCTAGACTGAGATCAATGTTCTAGCGGCTCCTTGACTGTGTTAAAGCTATGTCGTATGTCATATTCTATACTATCGTAGAATATTGATAGATCTAGTCCGTATTTTTATGAAAATAAAGAATATTCAAGTGATAATCTTCAGTGCTGGAGAGAAATCTTGCTAGCAACATTCGTGAGTTCCTGAGTAGAGCTCTCCATATTCGTGTTAGCAATAGTTGTTAATGACCTCCTATAACCCAGTCTATAGATGCGTGAAGATAGTTATGCGGCTAGATGATCTGTCGGCTAGCGAGTCCCTGACTAGGTGTTTGAATTCAGACAGATATGTGCACAGTCTGTAGTCTGAGTGGACGCATCAGCCCATATAGAAACCATGCGAGGCGTTGCATCAGAATTCTTAGAGTGGTCCGATCTCCGCAGCGATCTGCTGGCTGAAGGCAGGCTGCTTGTTGCTGTATGTTAGGTTAGAGCACTTCAACTCAAGTCTAAGGATAGGAGAGAGAGAATAGTAATCCTGATGTCTCGCTGATGCTGTTCTTAAGTCTGCTGGTGACTAAGTGTCTCGTTCTACGTGTGCTACGTGGCACATGACACACTAATCTGTACTTGCAGTGATGAGCGCGTAGCTAATTGCAGCTCAAGTTGTTTTTTGTCTTACTTGCGCTAGCGAGTCCTCATGAATCTGGTGATGACACGCAACTCGCAGCGGACAGCTAGTAAACTCCACCGCCTACAGACGTCGAGCATAAGGCCGTTCTATTCTACCTCTTGTGCTCGAGATTGTAGAATCCTGATGGTGCTCGCTGGCGAGTGTGCTGGATGCAGGGGGGGGCCGCTTGAAGCATGAGATGTGCTCTATTACTCAAACCATGGTATGATATATTGTTGTGATAGTATTATTTGACGTTCCGGATATTTCTGTGTCTCATCAAGCCTGAAGACGTAGTTATGTCATTTGCTGTCCTTTATAAACGACATGTTCAGCACATGTCTGGGCGCGCTGTGATGCAAGCTGAAGGAGGCGCCTAAGACCCTCCTGACCGTTGGATAGTACG